ACTACCCACCGTCTGCATCGGGCAGTTCACCGTCCCCCTCTCCGTGGACGGGGTACCTAGTCTGAATGTGCCCCTGATGGTGGCTCCCGTGACCGTTCCATTACCCTCTACCATTGGAACAACCTTTGCTGAACTCACCATCCTCCCTCCGGTGGCTAGCCAAGGTCAGTTCGAAGACCTGATGCAGTGCATGCGAGCCATGCACGCCCAAATGCAACAGTTCCAGCAACTTCAGTTCCACCAGCAGCAAGTGTTGCACTAAGTGTCCCAGTATCAGTATCAGCAACAATTTCCTTCACTCCCTCCCCGACATCCAGCTGCGCAGCCGACCAAGCCTCACTGCCGCAGTGAACTCCCTTCCCACCGAGGAGAGACCTCGGCATCATCTCATGGAAGGAAGGAAAGGCTCCCTACCCCCGCCTCACGGTCTATAGTTAGGACGGGGGCCTCCCAGCCGTGCTTGTTGCCCCGTTGGGAGGTTTCAATTCTTTCCCGTCTCAACCACCTTTTCCGAAAAAACGAAGAAATAAGGGGGGAGAGAGAGAGTAGGGATTTGTTCACTCTGTAATCTAAGTACAAAATTGGTGGTTGGGGATGGAGCAGTTGGAGAAATTCCTGATGCAAGATGAGGAGGGAATTCATTTTTGGCCGGGAAATGTCGTCACCACCAATGATATGATTTTGGGTTTATTTGTTCACCAGTTGGGTACCGTCAATTGTCAATTGACAATATGTAAACGGTAAGGGTAGAGTTAGTCAATTTTGCAAACAATAAGGTAGTTTACGAAATTTACCCTATCAAATAATTCTCCGTCTAGTACCTTGTATTTGGCTCTAGTGACACTTTGGTCCCTAAACTTTAAAATATGATAATTCATTATGCGAACTTTTAAAACATACCAATCTAGTACCTCTCATATAGAAGTGTAAATTGAGTCATGCCACCCATGGCTTGACCCAATTTTCACATGATAACCTTCTTCCTTTTTCTTCTTTTTCTTCTTCCTCTTCTTCCTTCCTTCTTTATATAAATTTTCACAGAATTTACACCTTGACAAGCAAACATGATCGGTGTAAATTTTCAAAATTTATCAGTTCCAATTTCCATCGACAACTAAACTGGTTCGTATTTTCCATCGGTGTAAAACTGAATTTACACTTAAAACAAATGTAGCCTTGTGTTTTTTAAAATGTTTGAAATCTTTGATCAAAGGTCGACCCACCACAAGTTTCATCTAGGGGTGTTCACATTCTGGTTAACTGAATCGTAGTTCTTTTTTAATTGAACCAATCAGTTTGATTTTTTCAAAAACATAACCAAAACCGAACCGATGCAATTGTGATTGGTGGGCGGTTTTTTTGGGATGGACCGGTTAACCGCATTACGGTTTTTCGGGTTATTTATACTATATGTTTTTGCACTTGAAAATAAAAAAAAAAAAAAGAAAAAACAAGTTACTTGAGAACTTGGACGGCGGAGCGGTGGCCGACCGGCGACCGCAAACTGGCCTGGTGGGCGGTGGCCTGGGAGCACCAATTCCTGGTTATTGGGGGCAGTGGCCTGATGCTTTGGTAGAGAATAAAATGGAGATGGAGGTTTTAGTGTGATTGCGTTAGTCTGAGATATGAGAGAGAGAGGTGGGGAAGAAACAGGGCGGCGGCGGTGAAGCCAGGCGTGAAGGCTGAAACGTTGGCGCCTCGGCGGAGAAGAAAATGGAACGACGAGAAGAGAAGGGAGAAGCAGGGCGAACGAAAACAGTGACTGACTGACTGTGAGGGAGGACGAGGACCACCCTTGCGGTTGAGTTGTGACGCCAACATCGCCGTCGAAACGGTGACTGTGACGCCAACGTGGCACCGTTTTTTTGAAAAACGGCCACGGTTTCAAACATCTCCTTAACCGACGGTATTCTTATATTAGTTAACCAAAACAAAACCGATGTTTTCAGTTTTTTAAAAAATACAGAAATACCGAATCAATCGGTCGGATTAACTGCATTTTCTATTCGGTTTTGATTGATTTTTTGTTTGATTCAGTTTTTTATTTTTCTTGTTCACCTTTCGGGTGGTTGTTTCGAATCCGTTTAGGCTTTACTAATACAGACGCACAGTAGTCAGTGACTTGTTCTGTTGGGGGAAAATTAATCATAACTTCCCTAGACTTATTGTATTTACAAGATCTTACCATCTCTTTCTAGTTTTCTCTCCGTACCCTTGGCAAAACACTAATATGCCCCTAGACCACCGTAGTCCCTTTGTAATTACAGAAACTGTCAAATAATAGCTGTGTTTGGTTACCTTGCAGAATTGACACCTTGTCTAGTTGTCTAATTTATTTGTGAAAATTAAACTAAAAAGTAAAATGGTGTGGTCTCACCTTATATTGCAAGAAAACAGAGGTACGAGGAGAGTTATTTGTTTGGGAGTGAGATAAGAAGCATTATGATGTGATTTCTATGAAAGATAATTGTGGTAGAAAGGTGTTACAAAATTTGCATTAGTTTTTGAGATACAAATTTTACACTGCTAGTGAAAAACTATTGACACAAAAATTATAAATTTTGTATTAAGTAGATGCATAAATTATAATTACAAATAGATACAAAACTGAATCAAGTGCAAATTTGCATTGTTAGTGAGAGCTATTGACACAAAAATTATAAATTTTGTATCAGGTAAAAGTACAAATTATAATTCCAAACAAATGCAAAACTGAATTAGGTACAAATTTTGTATCTAGAATTCTAGACCACCATAATCAACCATAGCCCAAATGTTTAAACTTTAAAATCATGGACCAAAAGTCAGCACACCATAGGGTTGACTTGTTTCATCACATGCTAAGGGTGCAACTCGAGTGGATTGGGTCGGGTAGAGGATCAATCAAGATTCAAGACCCAACCCTAGTTGCAACTCGAGCTTGGCCCAATCCAAAGTCAAATTCGGGTTTATCAACTCAAGGACAATCTAAGTTGGGCCAAGTAAGGCCTGGGCGGATTGATCAAGTTTGAAATGATTTTTGAACATATTTTCATTTAAAGTAAAATTGATTGAAAAAATATGTACAAATTTCATTCCGAGTCTGCTTAAATTGCAGCCCTATAGCATGCCTTGATGCTTCATGTTTAATAAATGTTAAAATCTTTGACCTAAGGTCAACCTACATGGGTCCAACTTCATTGAAGATTTGTTTTGAAACCTTAGACTGGCGCAATTAACCTAACGATCACTTGTTTTTGTTTATGGAAAATTACTCGTACCTCATACGGGGATGTATTCAAATAATGAGATCTCCTAAGGACTTTACCTCTAACATCTGTTTTAATTTATGTTTTATTTTTGTTTATTCTCCATGCACTTGCACAATGGAGGTAGCCCAGCCCCCGAAGGCCCAAACCCATAAACCCCCAACTTTGGTGTAAGTAGTATATGATCCCAAGTATCCACTATACTACACATCATCATATTTTTGGGTTTCCAATACATCCATTTAAAAAATGTTTTCAAAAAACCCGCATTTTTATTGGTTAATATAAAAATATGTTTAAAACATAAATTTTGAAAAAAAGAAAAATTAAAGGATTGAAAAATGTGGGATAAAAAAGCATCAATATAACCCTATTGGCATATCAAAGTGTATCAATACTTTAACCATGGTTGACACCTTGCCTCTAAAGTCTTGTTAAGTTACTTATACTATCGAGAGAAGTTATTTTTACATGTACACCATTATGAACTGTTTATCTTTTGGAGAGAGAGAATTGTATTAATAAAAGTGGCTCCCTCAACTTTAATCATTGATAGAAATTGTTCACATCAGCTTAAATGCAATGTTTTATAATCAAATTACCCCATAATGGTGAGTAGGGGGTCCATGGTTCGGTTAACTAAACTATAACACATTTTTGTAAACTAAATTGGTAGTACCAGTTTTTCCAATTCTCCAAACCGAAACTGGACTGGTACCATCAGTTAGCCGGTTTCGATTTTTGACCGGTTCGGTTCTTCGATTTTTTATATTTATAATATATATTATACAAATATATGTATAATATTATATAATAAATAATAAATGATATATAATATATTATAAATATTTGAAAAATATATAATATATTTATAAATGGACCATTATAAATATAATATAAGTATATATTTATATATATAATGAATATATATTTATATATAATACATAGAAAATATGTGACATATATTAAAGTTATATATAAAATATACATAAATATATATATATACCAGGCGATTCGATTAACCGTGGTTCTTTTATAGATTAATCGAAAATCGAACCGATCTTTGGTTTTTCAAAAATCCCACCTAATCGGTTCGATTAACTGCATTTTGCGGTTCAGTTTTATCGGTTTTTTATGGACACCCTAACGGTGAGTTAGACTTATTAATTTTATGACTATAATGCCCTTTAGCGTATATAAGATTTTTAATCGTTGAGAGATTAAAAGTTGAAAAATGAGTTTTGGGTAAAAAGTACAAAAAATATAATTATAAAAACTTGGTAAAATGAAAAGGACCTGTCTTCAGTTCCGACCGTTGAATCGAATTATTTAAAGAGAACTATGATGGACGCACCATGTGGCAAATTACACGTTTGATTATTATTGGTTTGGCTCTTAAAAAGAGAGAAAAATATATTCTCCCACCAATGAGCAGTACCCACAGGTGGGGTAGGCTTAGGAGTTTCCCCGGATGATGATCATCTCTTCCCTGTGACAAATACTAACGGATAACAATTAACTTGACCCCACCTTAAAGGAATCTGCTCCCTGTAAACGACAGAGTTGAAGCTGACAAAAGGCAAATTGCTCCTGAATCCTGATATCGACGACCATTTGGCTTGTTCTGCTAATTCTGTTGATAAATGGTTTATCATTTATTTAATAAAATCACGTGGACACGTGTCCTGGGCCGGTTCTGGCTTCTTCTTGAAGGCTATACACCATTACACCTAGAGGCTAGAACTAGAATATATGCTTTGCTGCTTCCGTGGGAGAGGAAGAGAGAGATTGAGAGTGTGTGATGTTCTTTTCCTTACGTACACTTCGCAATATTATATCATGAATTCATGATATATATATGGCTTCTGTCGGTCTGTCATAGCAGATCAGTTGTAGTTGGGATGATTATCCATTAAAACCAGTATTGCCTTTGTAGCTTCGCTTAGAGGGTCCCGATCTAACCTCAGGCACGAACAAACCTTCTTTGCTTGTAGTGTGGATGGAGAGAACTAGGGGTGAGCTGATGTAGAGGGAGCAATCGCCCTGAGACTGGAAGAGATGTACAGTTTTTCTGGGTTTCCTCAGACGGCTATTCTTGGGTCTCCGTCATTTCCCCCGAATGGTTGCAGAAAAGTAACTTACAATTGCTCTTGTAGTTGGCTGATTTTGGACCACTTTAAGTATTCTATCTATTTAGAATTTGATTTTATGCATTCACTGGAAATAGGTTTTCATATATCAATGACTGCTACATTTTGTTTGTTCTTTTGTTTTGTTTTTTCTTTCCAGTGGTGGGTTTAGAACTGCTGCTTTTCTGTCAATGGATCTTACGATTTTATTATATTTGAATTTATGGACTAACTTCTACCTACCCTTTTGGAATAGAATTAATGAATTTCGCGAGTCTTCCTCAATTGCTTATACTCATCCAAATTGGACAAATGTCCTTGCATTCAGAAATTATGTAATCGGGCATTATTGTAGTTGTAACTAGGGCAGATAAAAAAGGCACTTGTGGTATTAGTTATGTTGATGCTAATTGAATGGCATTCATTTTTTTTTTCTCTCTGGAATTACAAGTTTTGGATTTTCTCCTGTTTATTTCATATCACATTTAAGTGAGCTTACTTTAATGGTATCCCTGTTTACAGTATATTGTTCCTTGGGATTGATGAGGTTCTGAATTCTCCTATGCTTCTTTTTGATGGTTCCCCTCCCATTTTTATTCTGGTCAATTTTGTTTAATTTTAACATTTCCACAATTCAATTTGTGTTTTCTACTGCAAAATTATATTAATGATGATTTTCCTTCCTATTACCGACCTAAGCATGCCCCTTCTCCACTAAAAATTTTGATAAGGCCATATTCTACGGTTACTGAGCAACACGTAGTGGTGATTGGTGAGATATAAATTTCATTTGGCCATAAGGCCTATAATCCGTGCTTGTCCCCTTTGTCTCTTAGAAAGATTGCTGCAAAAAGCTCTTTTTTGGCCTGTAAACTCCTAAGGTAGTCCAAAGAAATTGGTCTTCCACAAGAATAATTTCCATTACATTTTTTATGGGAATCTACTACACCATAAATTCCTGGCCGAAGCCAGATAAATTGGTTTCACACACTTCTGAGTTCCACTAAACTGAAATTTTCCAAAGGTAGTTCTCATGTGTCACACAACTAGAATACCACCGGCATATTCCAATGGAGGAACCATTCAACTCATCTCTTGCCTCCCCACAGCATTATTGTTTCCTTACTTAATTGCATCTCCCACCCCCAACCTGATCTCATGTGTTTAACAACTCATTGCTTTCCATCCTCACTTCTAGAGTAAATGGGCTTACTTTGAGGATCATATGCAGAATCAGCTCATTTTTTGTTCCTGGTCTTCTTAATAAAGGGAGAATGCTCAGGCAAAAAACTGTTTCTCCTTCTTCAGCTTCAGGTCATGAATTACAATTACAAATTGATCTTTTTATCTGCCATAGATGTCCTGTTAGAAATGTCATTAATCTGCTATTCTCTATCCATGTCCTCCTTGGTAATTTGGAGTTTCTATGTTGGTTTTCACATCTGTTTGATATTGGATGGGTTGATTTGAGTTACAAAAGATTTTGGTTGATACTTGGATAATATGGATTTGTTGGCATTTGAATTAATTCTGTAGTTTTCCCATTCTTTATGTGCAATTTACTTTTCGTTTGGTATTCTGAGTCTGATATTTTAAGGTTTCTAAACTAAAAGAATTGTTTCTGTGAATGATTCTTGATTTACTCACTCAACTCAACTCACCTAAGCTTTGTCCCAATTACATGTTGTTGGTTACATGAATCCCGTTCTTCCATTTTGCTCTGTTTACTTCCATATCCATTGTTAAACATAGGCACTTATATTATTTCTCATGACTTGTATCCATGTTATATCATTTAGCAACCATTATTTTTTTGCAATGTTAATATTAACCTTTAATTATTGAAAAATTTGGACTCATCTCTTTCATGTTTTTGGCCCCATGTGACGGTGGGCCATCTGGTTTCTGCATATTGAACAGCTAATATACATTGTAATGCAATTTATATGATCTAGGCTCTTTAACCCTTTGCTCTATAATGGTGGCAATACAAACAGGAAATGTTTATATTGGAAAATAACCATAACTTATTATAAATGTAAGAAATAACCACATTATACTCCATAATTCAACCCCAATTGTAACTTTGTATTTATTCTAAAAATATCTGCATCTTTGGAATGCCATTTCTATGAATTTCTGATTGATGATTTCAGGTTATTTTCTTTATAATTTCTGATGCTTGGACATTTGTATTGGACTCAAGTCTTTACATTAACTGCAGGCCTCAAGAGACTACTGTTGCCTCTCAACTCTACAACCAACTTTGGTATCCTGTCACTGTAGGAAATTGCTTGGGAAGAAAGGGCTGAACTTGTTCTTTTCCCAACCAAGACCCTTGATATATGGGAAGGTATGCTTAATATTTTTTACATAATTGCATGAATCTCTCCGTGTGTGCTTATTGATCTGAGAGCAAAAAATAAACAGATTCACCATTCATCATGGGCCTTTAATGCATTAAAAATATGGGCCACCACTTTTTCCATCTATGTTGTGGCATAATCACAGGATTAGGACTTGTGACCATTGGGCTATTGTTTAATGCATTAGGACTTGGAACCCTCTCCAGGTTCTATCAAACTTTGAGTTTGATTAGTGCTGCCTAGGAAACCCAGTCAGAGAGAGAGTATAGAAGGAGCAATTTGGAATCTTGAAGGGGAGATGTTACTGGTATATCCAGTTTTCAGGCCCTACTGGAGAAGGAAATTCCATCACAGAAGAGTTGTTATTTCTACTCCCAGGCTATGTTTTCCCACCAGGTTACCCCTTTAAGGTGGATGAGGGGAGGGCAGAAATTTCTTTGGAATTCAGACATAATATCAGGAAGCTTGTTTTTTGGCCTAAAACTTGAATGCCTAATTAAATGGTGTTAGTAGATCGGCCAATGTAGTAGCTAACCCACTAGCAAGGGATGGTGTTGAATTTTGTCTTTTCTATTATTATCTTTTAATAAAAGTCTCTGTTATTTATCAAAAAAAAAAAGTCTTTGGTGCCTACTCAAGCAGGGTCCATTGGGGGAAATTGCATAGGGAATTTGAAAGGAGTTTACACAGTTTATATCAAAACTGGACTTCTGTGACTATTTTGAAAAGTTTGGCAGAAGGGACCTCTTTTCTAATCATTCTCTTGTCAAGAAAGGAATCTCCTTTTTTTTTTTTTTCATTTTGTTTCACCATGCAGGCAGTATAGATAATACACATTGATATCTCGACTTTCTGGTGCATAGCTGCTGGTTTTACACTATGCACACTTAAATCCTGAATGATTATACATGAAAATATTACCTTTTCAAAAAGAGAACCTCTTTTTTATTTAACTATAGTATGAATAGATTGCTATTTTGTTTCTTTTTTATGTTTTCCTTTACTTATATTTCTTTTGTATTAACCAAAAATAACTTTTTTTTTTCTTTTTCTTAGTGAAAATTATTGTGTTTAAGATTTGGACTATTTCAGTAACATTGAATTCTAATCTGTTGATAACTTCTGAATGATCTTCAGTTTATTACCAACCACAATAAGGATAAAGAATTCTAATCTGTTCCCTTTTCTTTTCTAGGTTGAGTACAATTCTGCAATTGCAACCCTTTTAGCAGATGAAAGCTCAGCAGTGACAGACATGGGAGAAGATACTGAAGATATTGGTGTCTTGGCAATGGATCCAGGATTGGAACCATATAAAGATCACTTCAAATATAGATTAAAGAAATATGCAGAGCAGAAAAAACTGATTGACCAATATGAAGGGAGTCTAGAGGAATTTGCACGAGGTCAAATTCTAATGCAGGATGTTTTGTTTTTCATTGTTTGTACATGCATGTAAAATGATGAAATGAGGATTATCAATTTATCATCTTCAAGACACTTATTGGAAGGATTAACAGTATATGTCTCCTAAGCTAGTTTTTTTTTTGTCAAGTGACCTCCTAGCTGGTCCGTTGATTTATTTTTTGGTCCCTCCTTTCATTTTTACTCCTTTTAGAGTCTGTTAAAATGGGAGAAATATTTTACCTGGGTAAAGTGTTTGCTTACCTATTTCCTTGTATTTTCCCTAATCTTTCCTGATTAGTTGCATACTTGATTTTTTATAGGTTATTTGAAATTTGGGTTTAACAGAGAAGAAGATGGCATTGTGTACCGTGAATGGGCTCCTGCAGCAGAGTAAATTCTTTGATAACATTCACACTATCTCATTGTTTCTGTTGTTTTTATACATAGTCCCAATTTGTGATGACTTTTCATGCAAATGCAGAACCATGCTGGTATTACTCAACTGGCCTTTGTTAAATATCAGATATTTAAGTTCTGCACTAGGGCTGTTTGTACTTTCATGCTGAACTCTAAGTTCTGCACTAGGGTTCATCACAAACTGCTAGTCTGCATCATCTGCATGTGTTACACACTTTTTACAAAAATGAGTATATTAACTTGGCTGTTATGCTTAGTTATCCTCTGATTCAAGTTTCCACTTATGACCTTCATCTTTTCTTTAATGTAGGGAAGCACAACTTATTGGAGACTTCAATGGATGGGATGGTTCCAATCACACAATGGAAAAGAACCAATTTGGTGTTTGGAGCATTAAGATTCCTGATTCTGGTGGGAATCCAGTTATTCCACACAATTCAAGAGTGAAGTTTCGTTTTAAGCATGGGAATGGAGTTTGGGTCGACCGCATTCCTGCATGGATCAAATATGCTGTTGTGGACCCCACAAGATTTGCAGCACCATATGATGGTGTGTACTGGGACCCTCCACCTTCAGAAAGGTGCTAGATCTTACTCATTTTATACTTTACCTCTTCTCCTTTTGGATTAATGCACACATGGGAGAAGAAAAAGGGAAATATTAGCAGGGGGCCAAACTTAAAGCACCCACATATATCACATTGCACGTATGCCCAGATCCTTATGTTATTGCATAACAAAAGATTTATTGTTCAATAGAATTTAATGTTTCTTGTGATAATGTAGGTATCAGTTTAAGCATCCTCGCCCTCCAAAGCCCAAGTCTCCACGAATATATGAGGCTCATGTAGGAATGAGTAGCAAGGAACCCAGAGTAAACTCATACAGGGAATTTGCTGATGATGTGCTGCCTCATATACGGGCAAATAGCTACAATACAGTCCAGTTGATGGCTGTAATGGAACATTCCTATTATGCATCCTTTGGGTATCATGTTACAAACTTCTTTGCAGTTAGCAGTCGATCTGGGACCCCTGAAGACTTAAAGTATCTGATTGATAAAGCACATAGTTTGGGTTTGCAAGTCCTGATGGATGTTGTTCACAGTCATGCAAGTAACAATGTAACAGATGGCCTTAATGGTTTTGATGTTGGCCAATGTGCACAAGATTCCTATTTTCATACGGGAGATCGAGGATACCATAAGTTATGGGATAGTCGGTTGTTTAACTTTGCTAACTGGGAAGTTCTTCGTTTTCTTCTATCAAATCTGAGATGGTGGCTTGATGAATTCAAATTTGATGGTTTTAGATTTGATGGTGTAACATCAATGTTGTACCATCATCATGGAATCAACATGGCATATACAGGGAACTATAATGAGTATTTCAGTGAGGCAACTGATGTTGATGCTGTTGTTTATCTGATGCTAGCTAATCATGTGATTCATAATGTCTTGCCAGATGCAACTGTGATTGCTGAAGATGTTTCAGGTATGCCTGCATTATGCCGACCTGCCTCTGAAGGGGGAATTGGTTTTGATTACCGCCTGGCAATGGCAATCCCTGACAAATGGATTGACTACTTAAAGAATAAAAAGGATAGTGAGTGGTCAATGAAAGAAATATCATGGACCCTGACAAACAGAAGATACACAGAAAAGTGCATATCATATGCTGAGAGTCATGATCAGGTATTTTAATGCATTTGTGGTGAATCTCTCTTGTGAGTTACTTCTGTTTGGTTTCCCTTATTTGGTGTTTAGACATTAACCTTTTGGAAAAATAGCACTTATGCAAGAGAATTGTAATTTTGGTGCCTTTCTGCAAGGGATAGGGCACTACGTCTTTCCTTTGTTTCTCTTGGGAGGGTAAGATAATAGTATATTTGCATCTAGGGTGATGGAGTTACTTTATTCTCTCTCTCTCTCTCTCTCTCTTCGTAATAAATAATAAGGATTAAATTTAGCCACCCTCCCCTGCCTAGTTTGGTTGAGGTTAACCAAAGCAGAAAAAGTACCAAACACCTCCTAGGAAGGATTGATTGGTAATTTTATGCTTTTTAATACAATGGAATATTCCATTTTGAAGGTCAATTTTCCCCACTAATCACTCCATTGACCAAAACTCTCTGTGGAAAAGAACGTATCCTTGAATGATTGATATCTCCTTGGATTTACCATTTCCTTCTAATTCAGCTATTTTTTTTCTTTTTTCTGAAAATGCACTTTCATGCTATTGGCAGGCCATTGTTGGTGACAAGACCATAGCATTTTTACTAATGGATAAAGATATGTATTCTGGCATGTCTTGTTTGACGGATGCTTCTCCTACAATTGAGCGGGGAATTGCACTTCACAAGGTTATTCTTTATGTTTATGCACTTATTGCTTTGGGTGGATCTGATTGTCTTAGTAGTTCAGTTAGTTGGTAGCCTGCATTCTGATGGTCAAATGTTAAACTCCAGCTAACCTAGGCAGAAGAAAAACTTTTCTTTTCTGAAATCATATGTAGCACCAAGTATTTAGTTTCATGCATCATATATTTTATTATGAGTTGACATTAATATTCTCTTGATTATTCTCAAATTTCAGATGCCTTCTTATGGATTTTGTATTTATTTTAAATGTAATTGTTCTCATGTTTTCTTTTTATGTTTTTGCAGATGATTCATTTCATAACAATGGTCTTAGGAGGTGAAGGGTATCTAAATTTCATGGGCAATGAGGTGATTAAACCCCTCCCACTTCTGAAGAACAATGTGACTCAAGAACCTCATATTAACTACAAAAAAAAAAGAAGTAATGAGTAAAAAGAAATGCATTGAATAAACGTTCTGACACCCACAATACATGAAAAGGCCATTACTCATATTTATTATTCTGTTCCCCCCCCCCAAAAAAAAAAAAAAAAAAAAAAGAAAACTAGTGTAAGTTCTGCAGTTTACTCTAGGTTGTCAAGCAAGGTAAATGGTCTAACAGTTTGTTTTTCCTTTCCCTTCCCCTCTCCCTGAATCAGTAGTGGACTGAATCTTTAAGTGATCACATGATAGCAACCTGACTATTTGTAAAAAATGATAGCATCCTGACAACTTGAGTAAATTTTAAAGACAAATATAACCCTTCTGGAACATGCAAGCATAAGGGCAATAGAGGACTATATATAACATAAAGAACTAAAATGAAGGACAAAAAATACTTAATTCTTTGACTGTTTGGACTCAGTGAGCTAGCTGGTTTGTTACAAAGCAGCTAAAGAAAAGTAGGATATACCTCTCATTGTCCTTCAACTAAATCATGTCTCTGTTATGTAATCAAAGTCTTTTTTCTCAAAGCTAAGATCCTATGCTTCTTGTGCCTTCTCCTAGTCAAAGAACACTTTGTTAATGTGAAAAAGAAGTGCAAATCATGGACCATAAGGTGGATAGCCTCAGCTAGACACTTCAGAAGTTACAGAATAATGGACCCCCCTATTCATGAAAAAAAAAAAAAACGGACCCCCTTAGATTGTCAATCCCCAAAAAATTATCCCTGCCCCTTGTTTAGTCAATCCATCTGCTAAACTGTTTGCAGCCTGAGATACCTAACTGATTTTTGTGCTCAACTGTCTCATCAGACTTCTAATTTCCCTGACCATATGCCTATAGGTCCACTTTTTGCATCCTAAGGTACCCAACTGATTTTTGTGCTCAACTGCCTCATCAGATTTTTGTGCTCAACTGCTTCCAGCCCGAAGTACCCAACTGCTTTGTGACAACCTTGGAAACTCTTTCAATGATGGCATTAGAATAGTTTAGTGCTCTTATCTTCTTGAGCCCTGTTAATGCTGCCAATAGTTCTGCTCTTATAGAATCTCCTACCCTAAATGGACCTGAAAACATAGCAATTATGTTTCCTTCACTATTTCTTATCACTCCCCCAATACCTGACAAGCCTGGATTTCCTAGGCTGTAACCATCAAGGTTTAACTTGACAAATGACATAGGTGGAGGTCGCCATAAGCAGCTATTTGTTCCTTCCTACTAGCAGAATTGGCCACTCTTTTCCAATTTCTGCTAATGTCATCAATGGAGAACGGAGTAAACAAGTCTAGCGTTTTAATCCAGTGTGCCACCTTGATAGTAATATTATCAATGATCTCCTCAACTCTTTTTTCCTAGGTCTTAGCCAACTTGGAATGAGCAGGGATGAAAGGGAGACCAATAGATGAAGAACAAGACAAGATTACAAGGAATTTCAAAAAATGGAATGGTAGAAGATACACAATTGGACTCGACAACAGCATTGGTCATACTTGAGTATTTGTTTTTGATAGGTAATAAGAGATATGCTTAGTGGGTAGGAACCGTAGGATATTGGAAGGTCACCCCAACATTGATATTCCCTATTTGAGTTTGCTCCTGTCATCTTCTCCTCACAAGAAATATTCTGTTAGGAATCAGGATCATTTGCACCCATGAAATTATGCTCCAGAGCTTGATTGATGAAGTTATCAGTCTTTCTACAGTTAGATTGTTTTATATGAAAGAAGAAAAAACCATAGGACTATCATATTTACAATTTAAACTTTTCTTCATGCTAAACATGAAAAACGAGAATGCCATATTAAAAACTCAAGGAGGCCTTCTACAAGCTTAGTGCTTGGCCAGCTAGCCAAAGGCCAAGTGCTTTGGAGAGTCACCCCTTTACTGTTTTGTAGGTTCTGTGAAAGGAAAAATTGCTGAATTTCAATAATAATTCAAGGTTGATTGATAGAATTTGCAAGGTTATCAGCTCCTTCATTATGGAATTGGATCTGTAAGGAATATACAGAATGCCTGGAGAAACGTTCTTGGAGAAGGGTTTACTTATCCCTAATCACCATTTACAGTTACTAGAAATTGAATTCCTTTGACAATTATACCTGCTAACCCTTTTCCTAACAAGGGGTTGGATATGGCTGTGGCTTTCCCTTTTCCTAACAAAACATCTGGAGATCTGCTGCACCCTCAAATATCAAGTTTTTTACTTGGCTGGTAGTTTGGGAGAGATGTCTTACTAAGCAGATGCTAGCGAGAAAGGGGTTTACTAGATCTTTTCTGTCCCTTGTGCAGGAGAGAGGAGGAATCTTCCAACCACCTCGTCCTCTATTGCAAGTTCACTTAAAAGATTTGGATTTCTTCTTCAAGATCATTACTTACGAAGGATGTGATTGTATGCTAAGATCTGTTCAAGCTTTGTTACAGGGATGGAAAGTAACTGGAATGGGCAGGAAAGGCAGTCTGATTTGGTCTACTATTCCATTGGCAGTTTTATGGTTTGTGTGGCTGTAAAGGAATTCTTGGGTTTTTGAGCAGAAAAATAGCCCTGTGGAAAGAGTGACTAATAGCATTATTGAGACTCCAAGGCAGTGGTACTGCTCACTTCAAGGAGAATGATTTTTCTTCTTCCTTTTTGGGTGTTCATTTTTTTTTTTGTTTTGAGGATACTTGAATACTTTGGCTAATAAGCTTCTCATTGTACATTGAAACTTTTAATATTTGAATACAATATTACTCTTTTCAAACAATTATACCTGCTAACCCACTTATAATATCCATGTTTTTTCATATTATAACCAAATCTTGTTTCTTCTCTAATGCATGTTTCATGTAGTTTGGCCATCCTGAATGGATTGACTTCCCAAGAGAAGGCAATGGTTGGAGTTATGAAAAATGCAGGCGTCAGTGGGACCTGGTGGACACAGAACACTTGAGATACAAGGTTTGGAATGTAATTTTTGGCACTGAATTTATGATTATTATTTTTTGATAAGTATTGAATTTAGGGGTTTTTATTGTTCAGTCCACCCCAACAAATCTTAGCTCCACCGAACAGTTGGGGTAGGTGCCAGCTTGGAATTGATGCCAATACACGGGCAGGTATTGGTGTTATAGGTGGGGGTATTTGAAAATTTGAATTGTTGTAAGCCTGCATTTAGAATTCTGAGGTGGAGTGCAGTATAGTTTTTACTTGAATTTATGATATATTACTTTAATAGTTGCTCTTGACTCAAAATTATAGTCAAATGTTAATATAGTAACCGGGTTCAGGACATTAGTGTACTTAACCTCCATATCCTGTATATTTATGAAATGCCTAGCTCTTCTGCACCTATATAGCACATCCAAAGGAATTGAGACCCACCCAATGGAGTGGTCAAAATTCATATAGGCCAAATATTAACCCAATCAGATGGCCTTGGCCATTTGATTTCTAGCACTTAATTTGAAAAATTTGGAAATGATCCAAAAGGATGTATGCTGTATTTTGAGGAAAAATCCTGTCTGGTATTCATAAAATATTGGGCATTGTGCCCCTTGCATATTCATCAAGCCATACTGGGTGATTGTTTTCCTTATTTTGTTGTAAATTTAGATTAAAGTTTTTATTGCAATAAATAAATTATAATGCTGGGTTTTCCTTTTTGTGCATGAAATAAAATCCAGTTCATGAATGCATTTGACAGAGCCATGAATTTGCTTGATGAAAAATTTTCATTCCTTTCATCAACAAAGCAGATTGTAAGCAGCACTGATGAAGAAAACAAGGTACTGATAATCTTGGTTATTTTTCACTAATATAGTAGCATTTTGCCTACCTTGTAATACAAGCAGTTCAAATGAAATTAATTCTAATTGATTTAAAGTGAAGTCCATATGGTGTGTAAACCAGATTTGGGTCTTTGATGCGAACTTGAGCGTGTTCATATTAAAAGTAATGTTGAATTGTCCAGCTTCTCTTACCTAATAATCAAATGTTTCTTTTTACAATCAAAAGGAAAGGGATGACAGTAACCACTGATCTACATGACTGGTACTGTGACTCCAAAAACTTCTAGACTCATGATCAAACTGTGCTGATGCTTGGATTCACCCTAGTTTTCTTTCAAATGATTCTAGGGTTAAACTGGTAATTGAAAGTTAAACTAGGTACTTAAGGTCAACTTGTAAACTTGTTGGCACCACAATTCCAATGTCTTGTGCATTTTGTTTGGATTTTAAACTTCGGTTACTTGTTTATGCATGCAGGTTATTGTGTTTGAACGTGGGGATCTGGTTTTCGTGTTCAATTTTCATCCAGAGAATACATATGATGGGTACAAGAGTCCTTATAGTGCTGGCAGAGTTTTCTTTTTACCTAAACTTACTTTCTCTTTTACTGACATGCATGACACATTCAGGTACAAAGTTGGGTGTGACTTGCCAGGGAAGTATAAAGTTTCCTTGGATAGTGATGCTTGGGAATTTGGTGGACAAGGCAGAGTAAGTACTCTGCTCATTGCATGATTATGGGTATTGCCTGAAGTGGAACAATATAATAACGACAACCAGTTAAATTAATAAACTTCTGATTTAACTTTTGAACTAAGGATGACCCATGAATGGCATTGTCATAGATGTATTGAGAACCTCCAAAACAAAAAACCCACCTGATTGGGTGATCCTTCCTACCTACACAATATATCAGCTCTTTTCTCACAAACTGGAAAGTTTGGAAGGTGCATGACATAATATTGCATTTAAAATTTATGCTCTTGTCCATGGTATCGGCTTTTCAGATTTTGCAGTCTTAACTCAGAAGCAACCAAAGTAACACATGGTATTTTCACTCCCTTTAATCTGTGTTGCAAAAGTTGGGTGCATATATAAATAGTTATTTAGAAAACTAATTTTTCCTGCAGCATTGCATAAGACAGCCAAGCATTTCTGCATTTAGATAGCTTTATTCATTTTTCTTTTTTTGTTTCATTGCTTATTTCATGATAGTAATACTCGTCATCATCATCATCGTCAAGTTTGATCACATGAGTCATGCTCTACCACTTCATGATATCTTCATAGCTTGTCTTGGACTTCATCGGATCTCCCTTGCTCCCTTTGGTCTTGCCTTTTTAGAGCACCTTCTGAGGAGTGCCTTTGTTTTATTACTGGAATTGATATATCAGCTGCTTTTAAAATCCACCATAATATGTAGTTTCCCAAGTAGAGTAATTAGTTTGATCTTCTGAATAAGATGAAAGTAATTTCAATGAAGATTAGTTACTCATCTCTTTCTGATAAGATGGTCTGTGTTCATGCTAAACACCCTATTTCTGCATATTCAGTTGTATCATCCATGAGTACCACTCATCAGTTTTACTAAATCTACCATTTTAGTACTGCTGATAAGTTCAGATATTGCCTACTGCAGGTGGGCCATGACGTAGACCATTTCACATCGCCAGAAGGGATACCAGGTGTACCAGAAACAAATTTCAATAACCGTCCCAACTCCTTTAAGGTTTTATCACCAGCTCGTACATGTGTGGTATGAGAATTTCTCTTCATTTTAATGAATATATGTTTCTTTTAATGTGTTGTTTAAGCTATGCATATCATCTAAGCTTTGTCCCAACTATATTGGGTCAGCTACATGAATGTAGCTCAATGATCAAACATTAAAGTATTTAGTGCATGTGATTACAACATGGTGGAAGCAAGAAATCATAGCTATGAACATAGTATTGGTGAGCTAGGAATCATGGAATCACAATGAGCGCATAAAAAGTTAGAAACACAATTAGTGAGGTACATTTTGGGTCTGTTCTTGCTGGGTGATTCCATATCACCCTGCTGTAATCTCCTTTTCCTTTTCTCTAATTAAGTTTATTTTTTTATTTATCTTAAAAAAATACATTTTCTTAACCTCCAAACTTAATGTGCATGAGAGATTGTGGGATGCCCACCCTTATGCTTAGGGGGAAGACAGTTCAAAAGTGTGTTTTTAGAAAGTTATCTGATTCAAGAGTTGAGCGATTTGTCTTATGGTGCTTGAGTAATTTCTACCTGGTGGCTGAGAGTTGAGTGGTCCTTCCATCTGTCCTTTCGTGCCCTCTTGTCTCTTCCCATGTTAATTTGTATTTGATACTTGGATATCAAACCTCTATTTTTCTGAGTAGTCTCTGGTATTTCATTATTGTTAAAAGTGTTTTCTTGAGTTCAATACTGCACCGGCTTTAGTACCAGAGCACTCAAGAGTACAATAAAACTGAAAATATGTCTTCTCTCGAATGGGAAATCTAAAAAAAAACATTTTTCACGAATATTATGTTACTATTGTAACCCACATGCAAGAGGTAGACCGAAAATATGAGAGTTTAAATGAATAACCCCACTTAAAAAAAAAAAAACTAAGTTGATCTTTCGACATCAAGTATCTGCTTTTGGAACCTACCAAAATGATTGATCCAATTCTGTGTGAAATGCTGCAACATGTGAATGGGAGATGATTCAACATTTGATAGGGATTATGCACCATTCTATGTTTCAGCGTACCCTTTGTCATGATATAGTGTTGCAATGAATGACATTGCCTCCGTTGGAACTTTAGGCTTATTATAAGGTTGAAGAAAGTCCACAAGACATTACTTATCGAAAAAAAAGTCCACAAGACAGTGATGCTGGAGACAAATTGGACTTACCCAAAAAAAATTCTGGAGACAAGTTGGTTGGCGGAGACGAGGCAGCAGTGGCCAATGTGGTGGCTAGTGGGGAGAGTCTTGAAGAATCAGAATCTGTTGATGTTGGCAGCAACGAGATTGAGGATGAAGAAATTGAGGACGTGGGAGATGTGGGATTGGATGACTGAGATCCGTGCTTTTATATCTGAGGATAGTATAAGACTTCTTTTGTTTTTTGGGCTTCTTTTTCCCCCTTGTACTTCATTGTTAATATAATGTTCATAGATAATAAATAATGATTCACATGTCTACATTCTTTCGTTCTTCTTCATCACCCTTTAAATCTAGAATCCAAACATATGCTTTGCAAACCACTTTGTAGCATGTGGTTGGATAATTTTTTTTGGTAAATATGTGGTTGAATAATTGGATTTTATGGTTTCTGCTCGTAAGATAAACAATTATGCCATGACTAAAACGTTTTAATGCTTTCTTTTTTTTTTCCGTAGATATAAGCGTCTAAATACTTGAAATGCATGTAAACATGCTCTAAATGTGCATTGGCATAGGACTCACCTCGTTCATTTTTGCAATCTCACTGTTCTATAAACGATTTTTTTTTGGGGTACAGAAAGAGCTTGCACTAACAGCTTCTAGGGGTGGATTTGAGCCGAATATCTAGCTATTTGAGTTCGGCTCGTCAATAAACCATCAGGTTTGAGTTCGATTCGAGCTAGAGATTTGAGTTTGAATTTGGTTTGAGTCAAAAGTTTCAAAGTTTGAGCTCAGCTTGATTGTAAGTCAAACATTTTATAAAAATAAAAAATATACATATAGAAATTTAAGAATTATAAAATTTAGTTATTATTATATATATAAAATAAAAATATTATATATAATATTTTTTATATGTACAATAATAAATTAGTTATTTATTATTGTGTATATATATATATATATATATAAAAGCTTGATTAAGCTTGCGAGCCACATGAGCCGAGTTTTATTGGGTTCAAGCTTGGCTTAATTCGCAAAAGAACCTATATATTAGGCTCAAACTTGACTTAGATTGAGCTGAATTAAGCTTTTTACGTGTCAAACTCAAATAACTCATAAAAATTTGGCTCGTGGCCACCCCTAGAGGCCCTACACACACCCCCCATGTTCCAATGCGTGATTGGGATGTGGTGTGGGACATGTGTGGGGACTGGGGAGCCCTTCTGAAATTTTAAGATGGCGTTGGTAAATTTTTGAAGAACTTGCATTGGCACTCCGAATGCGGGGTTGGAATGTGCTGTGGGTGTGGGGTGCGTGTGAATGCACTCTGGGGAAGTCAATTCTAATTCATGTTTGTTCCATTATGTACAACTCCCCATGACTTTTTTATATTTCTCTTCCATTATAACTTTATAAGCATTTTAAGTATTTTATATGGCAAAACTATCCTTCAATGGTTGGTCAATTTTATTAAAACATATATTTTAAATGTACGTAGGTTGGGCCTAGTGTGGGCTCAGGCCTGAGTCAGATAATTTTGTTATAAAAATATATAACAAGGATGATCATGAATGGTACTCTAATGGAATCTAATATAAGGTGAATTTTAGACAACAAAGAGTTCTCTAAAGATTTTGAGAAGTCATGTTGAATTTAAGAAAAATATTAAAAAATCACGGCAAGTTTTATATAATATCCCTTTGACTAATACTGAATTTATTGATTCAATTTACTATCACATGTGGATTTTCCTAGTGCCCTAGTGGTGCCATCCTCTTAACACATGTCAAGTTGGACCCAAGAGAATCAATTTTCCAACTATCAATTTTGTCTTTACAAAACAGTGCTCACATTGTACTCACAACTAATCTCATGAATAAAAACATACAAGTATGTTGATGATGATGTGCAATTCGGCCGGTCTTAGCTGTCAACGACCTTGTCTCTGAATTGAGTAGCGGGGAATCTGAAATGAAGGAGATGAGGAAGCTCCGGGGAGAACCCGGTGTAAAGGCTCCGAAGCTTAAGTTAGAATCCTTCAAAGGCAAGATAAAACCAGATAGCGCAAAGTTTGCATACCTCCTCTTTGGGGGGGTGGAGAGCCTTTTATAACCACC